TTAACCTCATGTGATCTAACAATGCTTTCGTCATTACACTTATCATCATTTTCACTGACACGACGTTTGGCTGCATCAACATCATCACGCCTATCAGATCGTCCACACCTCTCCTGACATGGTATCTGGAGGCTATCAGGGTTGTAGAACGTCAAGGTGCTCTCATTCCCCAACTTGATTGGTGTGATATTCTTGGTCATTTCGAGTTTCACGGCAGGTACCACATACTGATCTGCCATCTTCAACAATTCCACCACCTTGGGTGTAATAATTAACTGTTCGCTGGCATTAGGTACCACTGCACACCATACTCGTACAGCGGGGGCAATACTTTCGTCTTCATCAGGATTATAGGCCATCATTACCCATGCACCATCTACTTCTGTCGTTGGTCCATTCCATCCCTTGATCCTCAAACGTTCCCCTCTGGGTATGTTTAACTTGTGACATAAGTCCTGAGAGATTCCACATACTTCTGCTCCACTATCTACCAATGATGCACAGGTCGGACCAGCTTGAATTTTAACCTGAACAAATGGTTTTTTGAAGTATTTTTCAGCCTGTATGGTCCCAGGAGTAATACTTGGTTTCTTCAACTCCTTTGTGGCCTGAGACATAGCAGTGACCTAGCATTTCATGAGCATCTTGATGGGGTTATGATTTGTTTTCTGGGTACAAAATTTAGTAAGATGTCCCCGACTACCACAGTGATAACAACCTACCTTTGATATTGATCTTTTTACAACCTCTTTGTTGAGCCATTTGGGATCTGTTCCGGGACGTACAGCCGTTTGGAGTGGTTTATAGCCTGGGACTACATTACTAGACAGTCTCATGTTCATGTTGGCCTCATATATCTCCACAACATTGGCCAGACGTTCGTGGGTTAACCATTCCTCACCTTCCTGAGCTAATGCATGTTCCAACAAGTTTTTTGGCAACAATTCCTTCATCCGGTCCACGACAAGCAATGAAAGTGCTTGATCCAACGTTTCAACCTTCCGACTTTGTAAATAGAATCGGAGATTTCGATGTAGTCTCGATGCAAATACAGGATATGTCTCTTCATGTGCCTTCCGAGCCAAAAAGAATTCATCGCGGAGTTTCATCGGACAAAAACGACAATAACGTATGATCTGTTACTTCATAATTTAGATAATCATCAGTTTTAATCTCATTTAGTACTCTCTTCATCTTCGTTTCCAAATTAGCCAGTTACAGATCTGCTCGCAATTCCTCACTAACTCGATGGCTGTCAAATATTCCTTCGATCCTCTGAAAATATGCTGCAATTTCACGGGGATCCATAGGAAACATTCCTAACATTGGACTGATTCTACGGATTATACTAGCAGTATGGTCTCCTTGCTGAGCATTATTATTCTGACTCCTCAACTGTATATCAGCTTCTCTACGTTCCCTCATATCTTCCTCCATCAACTTGAATTTCCATCTTACTTCTTCAGCTGTTGCTTCCTCTGCTCGTCTTACAGCTCTTTCCACTGCTTGTTCTCTGCGTTGTTCCTCCTTTTCTGCTGCTTTCATCATAATCCGAATTTGAGTTGCCTGCACGGGATCCAACGTTATCTCCTCATCACCCTCTTTCATGCCTTTGTCTTTCGACCGTAAATTGTGGGCCATCTTTACCAACTTTACCACGTTGTGTCCGTTGTGTATCCTCGTCAATGAAAATTACTCACCGGCTATTGATAAACACCAACTCTTATCACTGGCGCTTTTTTTTCTTCCTGTTGACAGAATCCACTGCCGCTTTCTGTCCTTCTTCTTCTTGACAGAATCCCACTTCTGACACCAAATGTAGCGGGTTCTTAGCGGCAAGGTTGAGACGTAGACACAAATCAAAAAAATTTTATTCTGTAAACTGAAAACTATACCGAATAAATATACAATGTCAATAAAGAAAACCAAAATAAAAACTAAAGTTCGAGGTTAGTGTGCAGACTTGTTCCTGCCAGTGCTGTGACCACGTACGAGCGGATACTGTTTCAACTTCTTCACTTGACAACAATGTAGAATCCTTCGAACACGGGTGTTATGTGGGG